GCAAAGATGTACCAGTTCGGATGTGTCGGAGGAGTTATTTTTAAGTAAATCGATGTTAAAATCTCCAATTATTTGCAATTTATATTTTCCATATTTAGTTGATTTATGTAATAGTATTTCATTTATAACATCCATAAAAATCCTGTAGTTTGTAGATGGAGAACGATAGACTATTACTATCATCAAATTACCTATAACTATCGTAATTATATCTATATAATTTCTTGTAAAAGTTAGATCTGAAACAACTTCGTAATGTTTATCACTATGTATATATATTACAATTCCTCCATGCTGATTAGGTTTTCTTTCTATTTTTTCTAGCCGATAGTCTTTTATATATGGTGGAGGATTTACATCATTTGTCCAAGTTTCGCAAAAAGCTAATACATCAAAGTTGCAGTTATATTCCTCGATTGTTTTAAGTATTTCTAAATATTTATTATTTAAGCCTCTTACGTTGCAATAAAAAACGAATATGCCCTTTTTGGAGAAGTCATCTATCTTTGTATGTGTTAATAATTCAATCATTCCGAAAAATTTTCTCTAAACTGTCCAATGTTGGTATCCGAATTGTTGGAGAAGAAGTATCCTTTTTTAAATACACATTTCCGTTATTCGTCCAAGTGTTTAATATTTTTCCTTGTTTTTTTAACATTCTGGTTTTATAGAAAATATTTCTATAATATGGAGTAAGATGTTCATTTATATATATTCTATATTCCTCATTTATAATATGACACGCATTTGTAGTTATTTTTATCTTCTTCTTTTTAATATTATTTATAATTTTTTGTTTGACAACTGAATTGGCACATTTCACTATAATTGGTTGCGATTTAGTTTTGAATTCATTTCTTTCGTTATTAGTGGATTTAATTCTATAGACATTCAATAGACCTGATTGATTAAAATTATCGTCAATAAACGAAAAAATTTTATATGCTATTTCTGTTAAATTCTCATTCTGAAGTGTCGGCACGCCAACAATCTCCAAACTAGAGTTGTTTAGATCCTGCTCCAACATGCAGAATTTTTCTTTTAAAGAATTTAATTCTATCTTTGTACTTTTATTCTCTTCTTTTAGTTCTGTCATTGTTTCTATAACAGTTACATAGTTTCTCTCTAAAATATTAATTCTCTCTTCCATTTTGTCAAACTTGTTTGCTAAGAATTCTATCGATTTCTGAATTTCTTTGTTTGTTTCTTTTATGTTACTCAACTCAAAGTGTATAAGTTTGACTTCTTGTAAAATTACTTCAGAATTTTTGGTAGTTATACTTAAGGGTGACGTTGGAGTGAAAGTTAGATTATCTGGTGTTCTATCCACGTTTTTACTATAATTATGTGAAGTCATAATAATCTGTTCACACTCACCCAGTTCTCTGTCGTCTTCCAGTTCCTGTGTCCAATTTACGTTGTTCTTAACAATTTTCACTAATTTGCAATCTTCACATTTCCAAGTTTTTTTGTAAGACTTGCTGAACTTATGGAAGTTTGCTGCCTGGATCCCAAAACAATAGAAGTGAGCAAATTTAGAGCAATTGGAACAAGTCAATAAGTCATTTTCCAAAACTTTGTGCTTGCAAAAAGAACAAGCGCTCAAACGACGATTCGCCATAGCTCCACGCCTCCTCTACTCTCGCACACATCACACTCCTCTCAACTTTAACAACTGTCACTTCTTTGTACAGTATGTATATACCAAGTTTCATCAAAATATGTCAATGAGAATAGACTCTAGACAGGTCTGAGTAGGACAACTTTAATTATAATCACCCTGTAGTTGTCCATATTTTCTATGTAACCATCTTTAATTAAATTTTAAACTGTTTGTGGAGATTCTATATTTTATATTGAATAGCGTTTTAATTTTTGATTGAAACTTTGTAGTTCTTCAGGCCATTCAATATGGCCAAAAACATTTTCTGTATAGAATATTGATGAATTAAAAGTTATTTGAAGTATATAGTGTAACCGTTTTGCCTTTTTAAATATAAAATTAAAGTAATTAGAGTCTATAAAGTTGATTAGTTATTAATAAAGAATAAAAACCATTTAAATTATTAGAAATTTTAGCAGTAAAATAAATATATTCATTATAATATTTATAAGTTGTTAAGTATCTCTATAATTTATTATACATTATTTTTGATAGTGCCTTTGTACAATGAAGCAAAACAAAGATTACCTATTTTATCCCAAGTTGATATCGATCAAATGGTAAAAGTTAGTTACAGTTTCACACCAGATGGTCAGTGGATTGCAGGAAAAACTCCAGAGGTATTTATTAAATGTTAATTAGTAGACATATTTTAATATATATTGTAATTTTTTACATTGCATATTATAAATTTAAATAATCATTATTTATTCCTTGACCCAGGATAAACCTAAAATAAGCTATTATAATACAAGAATAAAAGAGAATATTCTTGAAATGTTCTCTTTTAGATGTCAAACTTTCTGTTAGCTTAGTCGACAGTATTTGTAACCAAGGATTTAATGCTGTTTTCTTGTATTCTATTATTATTTAAATAAAAGGAAGAAAACTTTATTCTGGAAACTAGATATATTTATTATGAAATGTTTCCAGCCTCATGTCAAGGCCATCATCAATATATGTATAGATAACAGCATTGAATGCGGAAAAATTTAGAATATTTTGTTTTTTNAAAATTTTGAAATACATTAAACTATTGAATTGTAAATATATTTTGTATAAATCTAAATAATATATATTTAAAGTTAATTTTCTAAGTATTGCTTTATTTTATTGGTAATTTTTATTCTTCTGTTCTATTTTAACACATGCAGAGAAGTGACCGATCATGTGGTCAACACATATTTACTCACTTCCGATTACGATTGACCAATAAAAATCTCTAGCGGAATGATACCAACAAACTGTTGGTTTATAGCAGGTTCCAAGTAAGAGTACAGATGATGAATATAATGGTTTGAATCCACTCAATATGACACCACCAAAGTGCAAATTCCGAACTGATTGGTTGAAACAAAAGGACAAGGCAGATTGTACAGTAGGATTATGGGCAACTGTACATTCAGACACCGACATATTTTGCAAAGTATGTAATTGTATAATATAAGTGAAAAAGGTTTCCAAGCACTTTTTGATCATGGAGGTACTGCCAAGCATAGACAAAAATTTACCTGTGCTTATGGTCCAAGACAGTTATACTTGACATTGGTTGGGCCAGGTGATAATTTCCTGGACCCATTAAAAATTGATGAAATTCCAAGTAATACTGACAATATGACTGGAGAAGGATCAGCAACTGTGAGTTTATATAATCCATACCATGTTTATATGCTGTATGCCATGCAGAACTTATATGGGCCATGAAAACAATATGTAGTAATTTCTCATTTGCTGCTTCTAATAATATGGTTCCAACACTACAAGCAATGCTTCCAAAAACTAAACTTCCTTAAGGAATATCAATGAGTGAGAAGAAATTGCTCTATTTAATAATTGAAGTATTGGCTCCCCATTTCCAAAAAAAAAAAAAATGCTAGAAGCAGCTCACTCTTCATTTGTTACAATTAGTTATGATAAAACCAGCAATGTGGAAGGTAAGAAAGAGTTACGGCTTTGGTCTGAGCAAAAAGAACAAGTTATCTGCAGACACCTAAACACAGTGGTGCCTCGTACAACGTACTTAATCCGTTCCAGGTGCACGTCCGTTAAGTGAAACGTCCGTTATACGAAACGCATTTTCCCATAGAAATACATGTTAAAACATATAATTCGTTCCACAGNATGAAATGTGTGGTGGATACACATACCTGGTACAAAATATTCTTCAATTATATTAATATACTTTTAAAGAAAATTATAATTAAATATAGCTTTGTAAAGAAACGTACATAAAAATAACATAAAATATTATTTACTTTTTAAATCTTAAAACAATCCACTTAGTCGAGTAGCTCCCTACGAGTGGAATCAGAGATGGTTCTGGTAGTGTGCAGTGTGTGCACTCTAGTTGAACTGGAAAAATTTCTGTCTTTATTACATCTGATATTTCGAAGAAATCAGTCCCCACTGTACTCAGCTAGAGATTGGTTCAGTTAAGCTTTTGTTTAGGTAAAATTTTGGCTCTTTCGTCAGGGTTTTGTTTATGTCTCCAATTCCCTAATTGCTTAATTATTTTAACTACTTCTTAAGTAGAAATAAGTCGAAACCGGTTACTTTGTAGTTGATTATTTGTAGTCTTGGGAAAGAAGTGGAAAGACAAATTTTTATGACAACAGATACAAAAATTGTAAATGTAAGGAAAATAAATTCTAGATTTTTTGTACCTTGTGCATGTCATTCATTAAATTTAGTTGTAAATGATTCTGCCAAAGTAACAATTAATTTTTTAACATTATACAAGTATTGTACATGTTTTTTTCTGCATCCCTTATAGATGGGACATACTAAATCGTAATATTACTAATTTAACATTGAAATCTGTAAGTAATACAAGATGGGAGAGCGGAATAAATATATCAAATATTTTAATGAATTTTTTAAAAACTCCTGTCAACTATACAGAACTATCATAAAAACATATCAGTAAACTCCTATCGGTTGGGTTAAGTTATAAATCTAATTGTGATTCACATAATAGAGTGAGAGTGGCCAAATATCTAGCAGGCAAGCGGCTAACAGCCCAGAACCGATCCTGGATAGAATCGTTGAAAGCGTTGTACGATATTTTGGCATGTAGCATCCACCAGCTAAAACATGTGAGGTTGGTGCTCTGTAAAGCGCATGTGCAAATGCATATAATCTGGCTGCTTTACACCATTCAGATATTTTGCCGAAACTGTCCCATATTCGACAATACAGTGCTTCCATTCCACCACTGATATTCAAATATACGATAGCAATCTTATCGTTTTTTCACATGTAGTATAGAAATTTGTAANCTAGAAATTCTAAATAATTAATTTATTATAATTATTAAAATTAACACAAGTTAACAGCTTGATCAGCTACTTCTAGACAAATTACTTAATATCTAATTATTAAATTAATCTTTTAATAGTCTGATAATTCATCAGATCAACTGGTTGTGATTAATTAAAAATTGAGTTATAGATATATTTTTACATTGTGCAACCTCCAGAGGGCTGATTTTAACAAGTTTTATATACTGAGATAGAAGAACCTCGAAATAAGGATTACCGTATTTACTTGCATATAAGACAAGGTTTTTATTCATTTATCACAGCTTCAAATTCCTAGGTTGTCCTATACGTGAGAGTGAAAGATCCTTTGCATTTTGGCAAATGAGTTTTGTGAACTGTTTATTTTCATTTTTTTATTTTGCTTATCCTCTTGTATTTAAAAACAAAAGTATTTTATCTGGGTCATTTGAATCGTTTTTGTATATTGTCAGGAGTAAAGATGATGGGCAATAGGAAAAGCAAAGCTTTTGAATTGAATTCCAGATTGAAATTCCAAAATCACATGGGAGCCCGATATAAGTTTTAATCCATTCCCACATGAAAACAAATGATTATTCGAAAATCAGAATTCAGAGAAACTCGCAAGTGTAATCGATGGAAAGTGGATTTGAATGTTAAGAATTGGCAAAAAAGGTTCCCGATTGTCCAGATTTACATGAACAAATTATGTTGTCAATTTTACAAGATTTTCCTTAAAGTTTAAAATGCCAGTAATTTTTGCTGGACAATGTGTACATTTATGTTTATTTGATATTTTACTTGTGATTAAACAAAATAAAATTAGAATTGTATTAATAAATCTAATTTTCTTTATTTTGATCTTTAAAGTCCCACCTCATCCTATATGCAAGTAAATACGGTAATTCTGCTATGTGTCTTTGTTGCATTCCTGACATATGTGATGAAGGATAACTTACAAAGATGCTTTTTTGATTCTTTTAGTGTTTTTTTTTCATTATGAAGAATTTTTAAATTTGATAGAATTATTTCCAGTGGTGTGCCATGACATTTGATGATAGGGAAGCTGTGTTTCTGTAAGAAGCCAGCTTCCAGGGGCAATTGGTTAATTGCGCATCAGTGATGGTCTAGGGCAGGGGTGGCCAACAGTAGTTTTTGCCCCCGGGACGAATTGGAAAGAAAACTTTTTTCACGGGCCAAACCAGAGGCTGCCCTAGGAAGATTTTGAGGTGGTGCGAGATCTCATTGTGGTGTCACCCCGTAGAGACTAAATTGTACATAGAGATTACAGATACATTCTTTACATTATCGTGCTTTATCAACATTCTACGCTGTACTTACGAGATTTGTAATGGAAGGTTAACTCTAACCGGAGAGCCAGTGTTGACCTTTATTTTTTATTTATTTAGGCATTAGAATTTTTCATTTATCTATTCTGACTTGAGTAGCTAATGTTGGAAGATTAATCATGGGCCACATAAATCCATTACATGGGCCATATGTTGGCCATACCTGGTCTAGGGTCCATTCGTATTCGTTTGTTTGATAAGCCAGTAAAAGCCGTAGACGTCTCTAAATGTATTTTTAATATCACAATTACTTTCTGAATCACTAGCTATGATATAAGGGCTACAATTAAAAATAAAATTATAAAAACTTACTTAGTGAAATAAAATGTGTGGTGGATACACATACCTGGTACAAAATATTCTTCAATTATATTAATATACTTTTAAAGAAAATTATAATTAAATATAGCTTTGTAAAGAAACGTACATAAAAATAACATAAAATATTATTTACTTTTTAAATCTTAAAACAATCCACTTAGTCGAGTAGCTCCCTACGAGTGGAATCAGAGATGGTTCTGGTAGTGTGCAGTGTGTGCACTCTAGTTGAACTGGAAAAATTTCTGTCTTTATTACATCTGATATTTCGAAGAAATCAGTCCCCACTGTACTCAGCTAGAGATTGGTTCAGTTAAGCTTTTGTTTAGGTAAAATTTTGGCTCTTTCGTCAGGGTTTTGTTTATGTCTCCAATTCCCTAATTGCTTAATTATTTTAACTACTTCTTAAGTAGAAATAAGTCGAAACCGGTTACTTTGTAGTTGATTATTTGTAGTCTTGGGAAAGAAGTGGAAAGACAAATTTTTATGACAACAGATACAAAAATTGTAAATGTAAGGAAAATAAATTCTAGATTTTTTGTACCTTGTGCATGTCATTCATTAAATTTAGTTGTAAATGATTCTGCCAAAGTAACAATTAATTTTTTAACATTATACAAGTATTGTACATGTTTTTTTCTGCATCCCTTATAGATGGGACATACTAAATCGTAATATTACTAATTTAACATTGAAATCTGTAAGTAATACAAGATGGGAGAGCGGAATAAATATATCAAATATTTTAATGAATTTTTTAAAAACTCCTGTCAACTATACAGAACTATCATAAAAACATATCAGTAAACTCCTATCGGTTGGGTTAAGTTATAAATCTAATTGTGATTCACATAATAGAGTGAGAGTGGCCAAATATCTAGCAGGCAAGCGGCTAACAGCCCAGAACCGATCCTGGATAGAATCGTTGAAAGCGTTGTACGATATTTTGGCATGTAGCATCCACCAGCTAAAACATGTGAGGTTGGTGCTCTGTAAAGCACATGTGCAAATGCATATAATCTGGCTGCTTTACACCATTCAGATATTTTGCCGAAACTGTCCCATATTCGACAATACAGTGCTTCCATTCCACCACTGATATTCAAATATACGATAGCAATCTTATCGTTTTTTCACATGTAGTATAGAAATTTGTAATAAGATACATAATGCGGTTATAATAAAATATTAATTTTAATTAATTCAATGTACGTTAAAATATGAAAATAATTGCACAATATGTATTTATTTATTAGAAAATACAAGGAAAGCGAGCAGTGCTTCCAAGGAAGACATGTTACTGATTATTTCATATTACCATATAATAAATCATTAGTGACTAATATGGCTAATAACTGATAAATAAATTATTTTTTTATTGTTTAATTTATTAATATATTTTATTAAAAAATTTTATATATAAACATACAAATAATTAATTTTTTTGATGTAGTGTAAGGAACATTTTAAAATTAAATCCAAAATATTTTAAAAAAATAAACAGAATTTAGTTTAATCATTTGTTTTAACAGGTGCTCAGTATTTTGAAGAATGTCAAGTACTTAGAATATTAACTGAAAATAGTAGAGTTACTGGCGTTCAGACAAATTTTGGTATTACTGAGTGTGAATATTTAGTAGTTTGTGCAGGAATGGTATAAAAATTTTCAGTTTATTTTTGATTTTTTATCTACAATATTCTGCAGTTTTAAAAATTTTATTAGTTTTTCAGAATACAAGAGAATTAGGACAAAAGTGCATTCCACCATTTCGTGTTCCTATACATTTCACTGATTTACCTTTCATTGTAACACAACCAGTCCATGGAATTATTCCTTCTTTACCAAGTAAGTCAGCATTTTGTCATTTTACATTTATTATGAAAACTTTTTTAAAGTAATGAAGATTTCTTGAAATTAATCACAAATATTACTGTATATATATATAAAAAACACTTAGCTTAAAATTGTCATGACACATTTTTTCATTATAAAAAAAAAAGCAAAATAGAAACAGCTGCACTAGGAATCAACAAATTGTCACAAAATTTTTATATAAGTGAGTGAAGCAAAGGGGGTTGGGCAGAGAGAGGAGCAAAGTGAATGGAGATGGGAAAGTTGAGCCACCCTCCTACAGGTTTAATGAAGAGAGCAAAAAGAACTGGGATTGGTCCTCACAGGCAGTTGAATTGTCACAAAGTTTTTGTTATAAATTGGGAACAGGTGGGCCAAGTAAGTGGAGTGAACCATATAAACATGGAATTGGAGAAATTTTCTGTGGGATGTTCAAAATAATCATGATGTTAGATTAAAAAAAAATATGCTGTTTTGTTCTAAAATCTGAAGGTTGTTTTGTGTTTGATTTTGATGGAGAAAATCTGAAAGGAAAGTTTTCTTTTATGTGATCTGATTAAACACTTTCTTTTTTCCAATTAATTTGAGTGTGGAGATGCATTTCAAAACAGATCTGAACTTGGAATTTAAAAGATGAAAGGTATATGTATTGAAATTTTCCTTATGAATAGTCTATATTGGGAACAAGTGGGCAAAGTCCCCTGGTAGTGTTGTAAGGACAATTGCATCCTTTAAGGTTCCATATATGTCAGATTACTGAGATTATACTAAACTGTCATTTTTCAATAGAACTGCTTATGAATTATTAACACACAGAATAATCATAAACTGTTTTTATTCATTATAAATTGGTCAATATTACGAAAATTACTATTAGCATTTTTAAAATGTGATATAAGTTTTCATAAAGTAAATTAGAATAAATATTTGATTTTTTTTTTTTAACTTTTTCAGTTATCCGAGATTATGACGGAAAATTCTTTTGTCATAAATATGATCAAGGCATTTTAATTGGTGGTTATTTTAATGAAATGAAATCAAGATTTCATAAAAATTCTGAAAATAAAACCTTGGAATTGGCAGATATCAGTAATTATTTGTTCAATAATAACTTAATTTTTATATTTTACATTTTAAGTATGATGCAAAAAAGTTTCAAATTGAAATATTAAAAATTACCATATATTTATACAATTTAATTTAATTTTTTAATTTTACTAGCCAAATATATCTAAAAGCTGAATTATTTTCAAGTAAGAATAAAGATAACAAGCAATTATTTATTGTGACATTGTCATAATGCCAGACTGCAATTTTTAATCCTCTTTTAATGTAAAAAAAATTACATGCCTCCTGGACAAGACTGGAAGTTTGTATATAGTTAATTGAGGTCTCCAGCCCCTAAGCTTTCCATATCAGGTCTGAATTTTATTGTTGTTTTGCCCCTGTAAGTCACACTGTAAAGTACTAAGTTATTTTTATGCCTTTTACAACGATTATCAACACGAACTGTGTGCCGGAAATAGCCATTACCTAACAGGTATTTTATGTGGATTCAAGATAAATGTGCCAGGCATGGACTTTAAGCATGCACCGAAAGAAATAATGACAAAGTTAGTCAAAAAACAATTCAATATTTAATAATAATTCTAATAATGACTATGTACAAAATTAATAACAATCAAACAACAATTTATTCAAAGAAAATCAACAATAAGAATCAACCCGACAAAACAAAATCTATTTGCTAACTTAAATATATTCCCCTTTGGAATTTGACAAAAAATTCAAAGACTTAACTTATGTACAACAATTCTTGTGAATTAAGGTCTTAACCGTCACCTCAACATACTAGGAATCTTTTTCCTCAATTCTCAAGACTTTCTCTAATCTTCGATCCACAAATTGAATAACTTCAAAACACTTTGGAACAACTTTATCACTATCGGACACCTCTCTCATTCGCTGCTATGAAGCTCACCATGCTCATTGCTAACAGAAGCTCATTTCGTTCATCTTCGCTTGAGGTACAGGCTTTATTCTATGAGGTGATGTCACAATTCTGATTGAGACCACTCCCCTCATTTACATACTTATCTCTAACATTGAACTTTTCCTTTTTGCCTGGCAGCCTATTTCCCGACAATACTTGCTAACCTTTATATTATTCTTTCTGACAATATTTTGGGATTTTTTACTCTTTAAGGTTTAGCAAGTTCCTGAGTTGTGTTTGTGTGGTCTCCCCCCCTCTTCTTGGTGCAGACTTACTTTTTTCCACTCGGGAGCAGTGTGCGTGAGTTTTTTTTATGGCACTTCTCGTTGGTGAGTTGGTTTTTTTCTTTCTTCTGTTTTAAGTTTCTAAGGTGAGTGGTGGGGAAACCTTCGTCCTAACAAAACATAAGCCCCAAACAAAATAGAATAAAAAGCAAAATAAAAAAGTAACTAAAAATAACACCCGGACTTGGTCCTTACAACACTTCACCTGACCTACACCTTCATCAGAGCCCTCACTTTTCTCACTTGTATTCACTTTTCTGAAGTATCCTCACTTTTCTCGTTTTTTTGGTCATTTCCACATGCTTAATTAGGAAGATGTGGGACCAATGAAAAATTTAAAGCCAGACGATCCACTGAATTATTGAACTATTGGACTAGAATTTTCTGAAAGAAAATACTCGGCCTGAACAGGACTCAAAACCGCGACTGCCACTCATTGTTGTTAAGTTACAGGAAACAAAAATCCCTTTCATGTACAGAACTGGAAAGTCAGGGAATATGATTTTTAGTAGAAAAAGTCGTGAAAAATCAGGGAACCCGCAAATACTGTGGAATCTGTCTGTTGCTCCTGCTCTCTTTTGATCCGAACACATCTTTAAATTTGGTTTGGTATAGGGAGGTTTATGATAACTGGAGTGACCAAACAAATGAAAAATTTGTTGTGCTTATATATCATAAACTATAAATGGTAGCTTCACAATTTAAATTTTGTTGGATAGAAGTTTTATGTCTGTATTTAAAATAGTGGGAAGTAGGGGTTTGCAGCTGTATGGGACGGGGTAGCAGTTGCGCATGAAAATGAAAGTGGCAATGCAGTGCGGCATTTGGGCAGTAAAACTTTGGATGGAGAAGAGATAGAACATGGAAATCGGTGTAATTTGTACAGAACAACAGAATCTACAATATTACTTAGCAATAATAACCACTAAAATAGAATTTGTAAAGTTATAAGCCAAAAGCTGTTTGAGTCGAAGAAAATTTTCATAATGCTGAAGAAATTGCAAAGGAAATGCGAACAGTAATATAAGAAACGTATATCATTGGAAAGAAAAATTGAAAAAGAATTAGAAAATGACTAATGCCGAATGATGCAGATTCTAGAGAGCATAAGTAAACCCAGCACATCAACTCTGACACGAATGTTCTTGTTTCAAATCAACCAAGGGTAGATATAGGCTAATCTGGAAAAATTGAAGTGGCGTGTTAAACAATCATAAAAGATGGATTTGTATAGTTTTACATGTGAAGATATGTAAAATTGTGTCCAGGGAATCAAAAAAATCAGAAAAATTCCATTGTCCGATAAGTCGGCATATTCATTAAATTAACATCATTGTAACAATGTTGCTTCTTATTCATCCACAGGAAAAAGTTTCTCGTTATTTGTGAAATCATTATTAAAATATTATTTTACTTATACTATTTGAAATCTGTTTTATTTCGGATTTATTAATTTATTTTTAAATCAATATTTACATATCTCGAAGCATTAAAAAATAAACAGTTTCTGATCATGCACATAAAAGTTTCGTTTTCTGCTGCTTGTTCATAGTAAGAGTTGTTAATTTTATTTCAAATTACTATAATAGTCACATTACAAAAATGGAAAATTTATATACAAATAAAATTTTGAAATACATTAAACTATTGAATTGTAAATATATTTTGTATAAATCTAAATAATATATATTTAAAGTTAATTTTCTAAGTATTGCTTTATTTTATTGGTAATTTTTATTCTTCTGTTCTATTTTAACACATGCAGAGAAGTGACCGATCATGTGGTCAACACATATTTACTCACTTCCGATTACGATTGACCAATAAAAATCTCTAGCGGAATGATACCAACAAACTGTTGGTTTATAGCAGGTTCCAAGTAAGAGTACAGATGATGAATATAATGGTTTGAATCCACTCAATATGACACCACCAAAGTGCAAATTCCGAACTGATTGGTTGAAACAAAAGGACAAGGCAGATTGTACAGTAGGATTATGGGCAACTGTACATTCAGACACCGACATATTTTGCAAAGTATGTAATTGTATAATATAAGTGAAAAAGGTTTCCAAGCACTTTTTGATCATGGAGGTACTGCCAAGCATAGACAAAAATTTACCTGTGCTTATGGTCCAAGACAGTTATACTTGACATTGGTTGGGCCAGGTGATAATTTCCTGGACCCATTAAAAATTGATGAAATTCCAAGTAATACTGACAATATGACTGGAGAAGGATCAGCAACTGTGAGTTTATATAATCCATACCATGTTTATATGCTGTATGCCATGCAGAACTTATATGGGCCATGAAAACAATATGTAGTAATTTCTCATTTGCTGCTTCTAATAATATGGTTCCAACACTACAAGCAATGCTTCCAAAAACTAAACTTCCTTAAGGAATATCAATGAGTGAGAAGAAATTGCTCTATTTAATAATTGAAGTATTGGCTCCCCATTTCCAAAAAAAAAAAAAATGCTAGAAGCAGCTCACTCTTCATTTGTTACAATTAGTTATGATAAAACCAGCAATGTGGAAGGTAAGAAAGAGTTACGGCTTTGGTCTGAGCAAAAAGAACAAGTTATCTGCAGACACCTAAACACAGTGGTGCCTCGTACAACGTACTTAATCCGTTCCAGGTGCACGTCCGTTAAGTGAAACGTCCGTTATACGAAACGCATTTTCCCATAGAAATACATGTTAAAACATATAATTCGTTCCACAGCATAAAATAACCATACTGTACCATAAAAAATGAAAATGGAGCAGACACCAATTATGCCGGGTAGTCAGATGTTGTGAGGAGGAGGTGGAAGAACACTTTCTTTACACATTCATACAGATACAGACTTTTTACACATTGCAGCAGGTCTTTTTTTTATTGTTTTTTAATCGGAGTCAGATTCAGGAGAGGCTACCGGAACTTGCAGGGTCAACTTCTCTTGTTCCATCCTTTGTTTTTTGCCCGCTGGCTTCTTGAAAAACATGACCAAGGTGGTCTGTTTCTCTTTCTTCTTTAACACCTGTCGGAAATGACGGACAAAGGTGTCATCGTAGAGATCATTGATCCTGTTGGCCTCAGCTCTGTTTGGATAATGAGTGTTGGTAAACTCCTGAACCTCTCCCCATTCGACAAGAAAGTTTTTGTCAACTTTCACTCCTGATGATTTCTTGCTTTGTTTCAATTGAAATCACCTTTCTGTTTTTTTAGAAGCCATGATGCATTATAAATGACTTAACTTGCCAGATTATATGATACGAATAATTCTTTATTAATTAAGATCACTAAACACTTCTACGAGCTACTCTCGCTCCGTTTGTTTTTTACAACCTCTTTTCGTCCCGCCACCTCGGCATCTACACAATTACATTTCGTTTATTTGAATCGTCAACATATATTACATTACATTTAATGTTTATTTAAATCATCAACATATATTACATTACATTTCTACTTCAGATATACTAATAATACATTCTAATAATACTAATATATCCTAAAAATAGCAGATTGTCATTGGCAACGGCAAAAGAGTGGAAACATCATTCGCACTTGTTCGAAAAAAGTCCATTGTTCGTCTCACGTAACTGCCAAACGGAAAGTCCATTGTTTGCAGCAAGTCCGTTGCTCGAGTCACATAACGGTCAAACAGAAAGTCCGTTATTTGCAGCGTCCATTATTCGAGGCGTACGTTATACGAGGCACCACTGTACATGTTTTCTTGGGTGGCAGATGCAGAAACATTGCATACATACATTATCAAGGCTTTCAATGATGCCAACCTTTCACTGCACAAACTTTTGATGATAGGATCAGATGGTCCTAATGTTAACCAAGAAGTATTACTACTTTTTAAGGAAGATGTACTGGGAATTTGCAAGAAACACCTTGTTAACATTGGAATATGTACAATTCACATTATTCATAACACATCTGAAATCATTAAGTGAACTGGGTGAAGACGCATTTGAACTTATTATGGCAGTTTACAGAATTTTAGATGGATGGCCTGCTCGGTGGGAAAGTTATGAAGCTGTGCAAGAAAAGCTTGAGTTGCCCAAGCATAGATTTATAAAACAACAACACATTGGCTGACATTCCATGATGCAGCATCAAGGTTAACTGAGCAGTGGGAGGGCATAACTTACTACTACTTAAAGTATATTCCTTCAAGTAAACAAAGCATAATGTCAAGTGCTTTGTACAGAAGTATATCTTGTTTGTTGAAGATTCCTTCCATGAAAGCAGAAGTACTACAAGGCATTTCAAGTGCAGAAATTTTCACAAAATATACATCATTTTTTCAAAGAGAAGAACCTCTAATACATCTCCTGTACAGCAAACTATGGGACTTGCTTCTAAAGCTAATTATTAGAATTTTGAAAGTAGATATTTTGAAGCTTGTTTTTCAGTCTAAGTCTGCTATGCCTGATAGTAATGTATTAAATCCAAAGAAATTATTTGACAAGACAAATATTTTGCCATTAGAGGAAATTATTTTTAGTGCTGAGTGAGGTTGCCAATGAGTTGAGTAAATTATCCCAAAAAGATCAATTGCATTTTTGCAGTTGCTTACAAAAGCACTATGTTGTGGCTTTCACATATATGATAGAAAAAGCTCCAATTCAATGCAAACTGTTGAAATCATTGACATGTCTTCGGTCAAGTAATATTAGTGAAAAAACATAAAGACATTGTAAGCATTGCAAGAGCTCTTCCATGTGACATTGCTGAGGATACTTTGCAAGACAAGTGGCGGCTACTTCAATTTGAGCAAGTTGAGAGTGATTTGACAGACTCAACAGATGAGAAAATTGATTATTATTGGGGTCAGTATTTTAAATTGGTTGGCTTCCTTGGGAATACAAGATATCCCAGTGTAACCAAATTGGTGAAATCAGCATTGACCCTCTCTCATGGCAGTGCTGATGTGGAATGGGGATTTTCAATTTTACGCCAGGCACTTCCTCCTGACAGAGCATCAATGTCAGAAAGAATGCTTAATTCACTTTTGATTGTTAAGGAGAGACTAAACATGTATGACCAAAGCCCACACACACCTTGTACCTATTACAAAGGATCTACTAAAATTAGCTGCTTTAGCACATAGAAATTATCAAGAACAATTGGAAAATGAAAAGAAGTTAAAAGAAGAAAAAAGAGCAGAAGAGGAAGCACAGAAACATTTTGAAGAACATCAAAAGAAAGCTGTTTGTTACAAGGAAAAGAATATGGCACTGCAGCAGAGTTTAAAACAGAAAAAAGTAGAAGAAAGTGAAATATACAAGACAGGCCAAGTTTTTTTAGAAGCAGCAAACAAAAAAACTGGAGAAGAACATGAATGAAATATGGGCAGCAAATGTCATGCTTGTTAGTGTCAAAGCATTCAAAAGCAAGAGGAAGCAAAAAAGAAAGAAGCTGAAAACATCCAGAAAAATCTTAATAAAAGAACATCATTTTTCATGACTGATTATTTACAGAAGAAGCCAAAGACTTATTAAGTATTCATGGTTTATTGGAAATATTACAGTACATACAGAAAGTTTTAAAATGTATTTAACCATAACAGTAATAAAAAACTTTTACTGCTATTTTGCTTAGTTTTCCTTCTGTGTTTTCACTTTGTTTTGTCACTATTGCACTCACTTTTTCTGTATTTCAACTCACTTTTCTCACTTTTTCAGAGGGAAAATGGCACTCTCTGAAGCCTGCCTGATAATAATCAAGTCATGTTAGTCTTCTAATTCCTTACTCAAGAAAATTTTGAATTGAAATCACGACTTCCAGTTCAAACCAGAAGTTTGTATATAATTAATCAGGATTTTCAGCCCCTAAGTATTCCATATCTGGTTTCATATATTTTCATCTATCTAACTCCATTCTTGAGATTAAGGAAAGACAGATGGATGACAATGGGAATGTATGTATAGGTCTGCAACTTAAAAATTACAGCACAGTTATTATTTAAATTACAGAATATGTTCTAAAGATTGGAAATTTAGGAGTAATCTTGTGGTAAGATTAATTCCAGTTTTAGATACATTTTAGATAGATTTGGCTATTAAAAATCAAGTTGTAGTTTATTGTATGTTAAAATTTAAAACAAATTTTAAACTGACATATCGTAACAAAAGTAACATCAAATTAAAGATCATTTAAGCTATGGAGTACATTTTTAAATTTTGCTCTGCATTTAAAAATGTTTTCTTACAGCTTTCTTGAAATAAGAAATATGAGTCGACCCCCCTATAACAACGTTGATTATTCCGTTTTATATGAATTCCATGTTGTAGAAGTCACTTAGATTTTACAAATACGTGTGCCAGACTGTAGGCTGCTCACGTATTTGTAAAATCTAAGTGACTCGTACAACATGGAATTCATATAAAATGGAATAATCAACAGTGTTATAGGAGGGTCGACTGTATTTTCAAAAATCAGAAATGTAGTTAAAGAAAATTGAGAGAATATTTTGCAGCAAATTCTACTGCAGAAGGTTGTTGGAAAAAATTATAAATGTAAAAGAAAAGTTAACAAAATTTAATTTTATCAGATGTTTTAAACACTAAAAGAACTGTGTCTTATTAAAATAGTTTTAACAATAAAATTGATTATAGTAATCAAGTGCAAAGATCAGTTTCAAATATAAATTTAATTACAGTTCTTAAATTAAAACATACTGTCCACAGATCGGTGAGAAAGTTTATTGGAATTGAGTTAACACACCTATGGGCTTCAAAGAGTTTAAATTCCTACGAAGTAAAGTTGTAATGTTCAATATGACTAACACATCATCACATATTATATTCTATAGCCACTTGCTAACTGAGACTATTGAAATAATGAACAGGAGGCATTATTATCAGAGTCATATTTATTTTTTTAAAAATTCCATGTTTAAAATTGTTCACAAGATGACATTTGAAATAATTTATGTTGATATAGCCTCTTTTTGTTTGGACCTCCAATTCACATATCCATAAAATTCCATTTATCAGAAAGACTCATGCCAAATGTTTAAACATTTTAGATTGAATATTTAGCATGAATCTAACTATGAAAAAAGAGCAGTGAAACAGTTTCTTATGTGTGGAGATCATATGAGATCCCATAAGAATAGTTGTTATGGGTCTCCTTAAAAAGTTGAACATTTAGTATTAGTCTTTCTGATAAATAGAAGTTAAATTTAATTAAATATAATATACAGGGGGTTATAATTAAAGTTGCCCCACTCAGACCTGTATGGAGTCTGTTCTCATTGATGTATTTTGATGAAACTTGGTATATGTTATATGGACCGTGGGGAAAAGGAAAATGCAAAAAATAATTAGTTCAGATTTCTATCACTAGGTGAAAAAAATGGCACATGAAGAACAAGAAACACAAAATGGAAACACGCAAAAGGTTTTTATTCACAACATTTGTTCAATGTGCAATCCATTTGCGTCAATCACATGTTCAAAGCGCCTTACAGCATGTTCAACAGTGGCTCAATAGGTTTCTTGAGAAATTGCAGCAATATCACGTGTTATGCTTGCTTTCAATTCAGGCAGAGTTCGTATGCCTCCTCTATAGACACAATCTTTCAGATATGCCCACAACCATACACGAATTGAAAGCAAACATAACATGCCATATTGTTGCAATTTCTCAAGAAACCTATTGAGCTACTGTTGAACACTCTGTAAGGCGCTTTGAACGTGTGATTGACGCAAATGGATTGCACATTGAACAAATGTCGTGAATAAAAACCTTTTGTGTTTTTGTTCTTCATGCGCCATTTTTTTTCACCTAATGGTAGAAATTTGAACTAATTATTTTTTGCATTTTCCTTTACCTGTGTCCATGTTTCCTTTACCATGGTCCATATAACATATATATTTTATTTATTTATTTTATTTTTCAAAAGACACTGTGGCCAGGTTGGCCTTTTACAAGCATCTTAACAGTTAATCAAAACAAACAAACAAACAAACAAAAATCAGGACGCGAGCTGAGAAAGAAAAATTAATTAACAACAAATAACGTTGAGTCTTAACCTTTTTTCCATTTTTTTACATTTTTTCTGAAGATTTCNACCGTTTTGCCTTTTTAAATATAAAATTAAAGTAATTAGAGTCTATAAAGTTGATTAGTTATTAATAAAGAATAAAAACCATTTAAATTATTAGAAATTTTAGCAGTAAAATAAATATATTCATTATAATATTTATAAGTTGTTAAGTATCTCTATAATTTATTATACATTATTTTTGATAGTGCCTTTGTACAATGAAGCAAAACAAAGATTACCTATTTTATCCCAAGTTGATATCGATCAAATGGTAAAAGTTAGTTACAGTTTCACACCAGATGGTCAGTGGATTGCAGGAAAAACTCCAGAGGTATTTATTAAATGTTAATTAGTAGACATATTTTAATATATATTGTAATTTTTTACATTGCATATTATAAATTTAAATAATCATTATTTATTCCTTGACCCAGGATAAACCTAAAATAAGCTATTATAATACAAGAATAAAAGAGAATATTCTTGAAATGTTCTCTTTTAGATGTCAAACTTTCTGTTAGCTTAGTCGACAGTATTTGTAACCAAGGATTTAATGCTGTTTTCTTGTATTCTATTATTATTTAAATAAAAGGAAGAAAACTTTATTCTGGAAACTAGATATATTTATTATGAAATGTTTCCAGCCTCATGTCAAGGCCATCATCAATATATGTATAGATAACAGCATTGAATGCGGAAAAATTTAGAATATTTTGTTTTTTCTTATTTGTTATCAAAATGCTAAGTTTTTTACATTTCAATGATATTATCTACAGCTGTAATTGGTTTTTCTGCTATTCTCAGATGGAGGCTTTTCTATTCATAGACAAAGTTACTTGAATTTTCATCTTCCTCTATGGCAATTGCATCAGGAATAACAGATGTTTTATTTTTATATATGTTTATTAATCCTTGTTTAAAGTATTCTGCTGATCCTAGTTATATAGTAACTATTATATTTATCACATTTAAAAAGAAAACAGTTTGTGGCTCCTGCTTTAATTCTTATTCTTAAGAGTTTGGAAAACCATACACAGGATTTCTTTTCATTAAATTTGCAATTTTTACTATTAAATTGAATTCTTCTTCTGATTTACTAAATAATGATGATAATAATTGATCATGTTTAAGTAGTCTTTTTATAAATTTCAAATAAAAGTTATTTTATAGATTATAATGTAATATATATATTTATTTTATAGAATTTGGTCCAGTATTTTTTGTGAAAATTTAAAAGAATTTAGTCGTTAGAATGATTTATTTTTCAAGAATTTTTCTTGTATTTTGTTTTTCTAGATAGACAATTTGTTTGTTACTGGAGGAAGTAATGGCAATTCCTTGCAAGCTGTAGGTGGCTTAGGAAGAGCACTGGCTAACTGGATTTCTAATATGGAACCTGATTCATTTATGCTTCCATTTGATATATGTCGATTTATTGATGTACATAATAATTACAAATTTTTGCAAGAAAGAGTTGCAGAAGTTGTTGGTAAATTTATTTAAATGAAATATTATTATTATTATTTAATATCTCAATTATAATTTATCTTCAATTAATTCAATTAATATTTGTTTCTATTTCTATATTTTTTCTTGAATATTAAAAAGTTTATTTATTTATTTATTGTTAAGAATAATAACTTTTTATTTTTAGAGTTAGGATACACTATTCCTCACCCATTACCAAAAGAATTTAATACTGCAAGAACATTACGCTGTTCACCTTTGTATACCATTCAAGATGATGCTGGAGCAGTGTTTGGAGAAAGAATGGGATTTGAAAGAGCTCTTTATTTTGATAAAACTAAATCACGTAAGAAATATTTTAATAATTCATAAAAATTTATTATAAAAGCATACGCTATATATTTTATCCACCATTTAATATTACAAAGTCACAAAAAACTTTGAAATTGTTATAATTGTGCATAGTCATTAACTCTTTTATGATGATTCGATGATATATCATCAATTTGGCTTCAGCTGCAACATATGAAATGATGAAATTTCATTATTTTGAAAAATGTTTAATTTTAATCAAAAATTTTCTGTCATTTTACTCGCATTTGGTGATATTTTATTGCTGCTCACAACCTCTAAGTTACATATATGTGTATTTTATTTTATTTTATTTTCAAACAAAGGAAATGTGTACCAATCAATTTTTCTTCTGTAGTCATTTTATTGTTTTACAATTTTGGTATTTACTTCTTATTGCTTATAAGTTATATATATATTTAGTTATTTATTATTTTTCTTATTTTTGTTCTAGTTTTTATTTATTTTCTCAAACAAGTAAAGCACATAAAACACGGTCACTAATCAATTTTCTTTGTGTAGTTTGTTTTATTGTTCTATAGTTTCAGTATTTTCTGATAATACGAAATTAAAAGGCTTGCTAACAGGAAAAGTGTGATATACAGAGACAAGACACTACTAATTTGAGGTGGAGGGCATATATTTTAAATTAAATAAATTTTAAAAATATGATTAAAAATTTCAGCCCGGCATTATAACAATTTCACAATAAATATTTGCTTGTGTTATCTTTAAAATAGTTATCATAATAGAATATTTTTTATTTCTATAATAAGTTGAAAGTTGTGTGTGCAAAAGACTCATAATATTTTATAACATGTTAAAAATATAAGACTTATATTTTTAACATGTTAAAATTCTTAAATAAATAATAGATTAAAATTTAATGTTTTGCAGGAGAAGAACGATTATGTCCACCGCCAACGTCTTTCGGTAAACCTCCCTGGTTTGATATCGTGAGAGACGAATACATCGCCTGTCGAGAGAGAGTCGGCCTTATTGATATGTCATCTTTTACTAAGTCGTTCATAATGGTAAAATTTTATTTAAATATATCGATGCATTTACATTATTCATTAGTGTTACATTTTAAGTGTTTCTAAAAAATTTAATTATAGAATATAAGGCCACAAATCTTGACTTTATAAATGTTTCTGCTTGAACAATACAATTTTTTAGGCTCAGAGAGAACAGGAAAAAATTTGTTCTATATTTTGAAATATTGGAAAAAGTATTATTTTATTCCTATAAATTCTTCTAGGTTTATTTTATTTTTTAAATATAAAAGCAAAATTTTTAGAAAAAAATGTATTCATCTGTAAATTAATGCAGACCAAAACTTTTATTTTACAAATAAAATAATATATATTCACAAGCAATGCATTTCAATAAAATGAATAAAATTAGTTATTAATTAGATCTACAACTTTAACTTGATATTTCTATTATCTTCCAAACGATTGCCAGATTAAATTGGGCTACTTTACCACTCTTTTTTTTAAATTTAAATAATATGGTACTAGAGATAAACATTAGGCACCATCTCTATTAAATTTAATAATTATAATTAAATTAATATTTATTAAATAATTTGGAATATTCTGGAAGAAAAGAATCGGCCCGGAGTGGGATTCGAAGCCACAACTCCCACTTCCCGTTGCCAGTTATGCTAACGGAGGATGGTCATATCTAAATTAAATATGTCTGAAAGGGAAGACTGGATGGAGGTCCGGGTTGCCTTTACCTTAATGGCTACACGTCTTGGGTTGGATAAACTACCATAAGAGTGAACTAATATGTTGTTTGAATAGGATGTCTGCATCCAAATTTATTTACTTTATAAAAAGTAGTAAGACAATGAAGCATTGTAGTATTTGAAACATTAATTTTATTGAAAAAGCACGGTTTTTTTGTGAATTTGAAATCACCCAATCAGTCTTTGGATGGTTTTTCCATTTTATGATCAACCTCTGCACTACCAATGCTTGGAGCTATGTTTGAGCACTACAGCATTTTAAAACATTGTCCTGTGTCTCCTGTTGCACTATAGTATTAAGAGTAAGTCTATTATATTCCCCAAAAATAAGACTTAACCGGAAAATAAGCCCCAATTAAGGTTGTCAGCCAGATGGTCGTATTTAATACATCCGTTGCAATCCAAGACGGATGTATTGAATTATAAAATAATGACATTAATATTTCATTAAATATAATTAAGTATTACTATTGACATTAATATGTAATTATAATTTATACCATCATTTATTTTAAGTATTTGTAAATACCCAAGCGAGCACCTTTGGATAAGACATCCCCTGAAAATAAGACATACTGTATTAATTTTTGCTTCAAAAAATGCATTAGAAGACTCAGTCTTATTTTCAGGGAAACACTGTAATAGGTTTACTTTTGAGTTCCTTGTTTATGAAAATATACCAGTAAATTTGTAGAAAATACTTTAAATTTAATTAATTTTTTAACGTATAGTCTTTAGTATCCAGCTTTTTCAAAAATTGTAAAATATATCAGTTTTAATAATACTTAAATTACAATTACTTCATTGTTAAATACCAATGAATTAGATAAACAAGCTACAACTATAAAGCCACAGGCCATAGCAATGGTTAGAATGCTCTTTTCAATTAAATTTTTTCACTAAACTATAATAAATTTTGTGAAATTAGCCGGGGGCCAAGGGGACAATCCCGAATGACCACTTACTCGGCAGCAGGTCGGCGAGACCCGATCTCGTTGTCTGTTGGATGGCTCTACGATAAATTGTCAGCGGGATTGTAAGATCTAGCCGATGTCAGGATAGAATTAAACACGTCCTAACTCGCATGTTGTAACCAAAGGTTGAATAGGAGGGTCTAAAATTATCGAGTGGGGAGTGCACACAGGTAAGTCGAGAGGGCGTTCGTTTCCTGAGTGAGAGGTTTAACAAACATAACAAAAGTTTAATATGTATCTAAGCTAGGATACATGAGAAAATACAAGCTATATGACTAAATATGGCGATTACATGAGGATATTATCAAATATTACAAGTCATCATGACTATTCTACTACCTATGTGCGAGTGCATATCAGGCTTATCTGAGAGATCGCAACTCGAATCGGAGAGAGAGTTTACAAACACCTCATAGGGAGAATGCTATCTTCTCAGTGAATGGAGGAGTATATGGTCATTGTCCAGAGCAATCTCTGGACAATGACCATATGGAAGTTGGATCAGTAGGTTCTGTATGGCGTTGTTCTCTTGATATGGCATTGATCCGCCAAGGTCTGCTGGATAGTTGGTGGATTGAACTCCTTTATCTTTACTCAGGATGTTCACTACCTTCACCTATGTCTGTGTATTTACACTTCTTCCAGGTACTCCACCACGAACTCTTGCTTCTGCCTCCTTTTATTCTCATTGGCCTGGGAAAGTCAATCGTGTGATCGGCTGTTGTTAGAGACAAAGGTTGATTTTGCAGGTGTTGGTTCAAAGGTGACTTAAAGATATCACTTGGTTGCAGCTGTCATGCCTATATTTGGTTGTGGACTTAACAAAATTACTCTATTTGTTCAATCAACATTTAACTTTCTCCTCTCTTAACATCAACTTGTTATCGTTTGACAGTCTGTTGTTAGAATTCTCTAACATTTGTTGACTGGAATTGTGTCATTCACTCCATCTTCGAGCAATGTTTTTCTAACTATTGTGACAGAGAATTAGGCTTACAATAATTTTCTAAATTTTTCACATCATCAAACTTATGATCTCACAGTTTTATTTTAAACTAAAATATCAACATATTTAACTAAAATATTTTGTATGTTCTTAATATTTTTTTTGATGATTTGATTGCTATGATAATACAGGAAATATAAATGTAATAGAATGCACTCTGCTAATCCAGCATACCTCCAGCATGATCTCCTATGCACTTCTGTTTCCATTAAAATATTAGTCTTGTCACACATCCTGTTTTCCTGTTTACCCTGGTTTCATTTCAGTGTTTCATATTATTTGCCCATCCACCTCCAAAAACAATCGGTACCATAGGATGACAGGTCACAGCATTCTTTGTATTTAGGCAGACTTGGTAAATACACTCTCAGTAATCTGGCATCCCTCTGTGCAAAAAAATGGCCAGATTATCATGTGATATTTACACTAAATTTTTGCTAATTAATTTGACAGAATTTGTCGTACAATATAGCTGAGTTTTGAAATCTTGTTTTTAGATTTCTTATCTTTGTGACCATTGTAAATAAAATAAATCACATTTTCGTAATAAAAAAAAGAAACGTGTATGGAAAAAATATCAATACCATTACTATTGTTTGAAAGAATACATTGTAATGAATTTTTTCTTATTGGAAATGAAACTGTATTTATACAAATTTCATAAAATATTTAGAGAATTAAATTAGTTTCTAATCGTAAAATGTGGTAGCTGTTGATAATTTAATAACTTTTGTAAATTTACGATCAAACAGAAATTGTTTATGTAGAATAGATTCAAGTAGATAATTTATCAAAAAAGATTATCTTTAAGGCAGTACAAAATAATCTACACTTAAAAAATTATTTTGAAATTACTTCACACTATAGGGAAGCTGTATATAGTATTTATTTCAATTTAAATATTGGTAGGTAGCTTTAATTACATAAAATATAAAAAATTTTGTTTAATGTTAGTCCGCAGGAACTGAAGTAGTGAACTTCTTACAACTGTTATGTTCGAATGATGTGGATATACCTGTCGGCTGTATAGTACCTACCGGGATGCAGAATGAAAAAGGTGGATATGAAAATGATTGCCTGTTAGTTCGAAGAGCCAATAATTGGTAAAATTGTAAAAAGTTTATTATTATAATTTAATAATTTACATAGGTGGTTTTTTTTCAACCTTCAACAGACCATAAAACAAAGACAAGTGTAAATAACAAAATGAATTTATTACCAAAAGTTAGGTACAAATATGGTTACTTCGACATAATCACCGTGAAGATTGGGACATTTGTCTATCTGTGGATGAGCTTTGAAATCCCCTTTTCATAGAATGTTGCCACCAGTGACTTGAGATGGGCCTTAACATTGTTTTGAAGATCGTCATTAGTCTCAAACCTCAGCCCTGCTAGCTAAGTTTTCAGGAAAGAGGTGGAAGTCTTCACACATTAAAGGTGTGAAGACTTCCAACTTTCAGACTTCCGCCTAGCTTGGAACTTTTTAAACACTCAGCATACATCCCTGATTTAGCGCCGAGTGACTTCCACATCTTTCCTGAACTAAAAATGTGGCTAGGAGGGCAGAGGTTTGAGACTAATAAAGATTTTCAAAACAACGTTAAGACAATCTCAAGTCACTGGTGGCAATATTCTATGAAAAGAGGATTTCAAAGTTCATCCACAGATAGACAAATGCCTCAATCTTAATGGTGATTATGTCAAAAACTAACCATGTTTGTACCTAACTTTTGGTAATAAATTCTTTTGTTATTTACACTTGTCTTTGTTTTATGGACCATTGGAGGTTGAAACAAAATATATTTATATATATCATTACATTAAATAAAAATCGTAGAATGTATCTTTATACAGTATACCGTTATATTAAAACAGATTTAAAGTTTATAAGGAATTTTAAAAAATAATTAGTATAAAAATTGATAATATAAATTATATATTTTGTTTTATGGAGTTAATCGATTTGGCAAGTGAGCGGCTCATATCTCAGGATTGGATGACTTCTCGTTGACACTACTAAATTTTGATAGTTAAAGGTTGAAGGGGGGATTATGTCCTTTTCATTAAGTGGACTTAATGAAAATTTTACTTACTAGCATTTACAATTCATTTAAAAACTTGACATGCTCAAAAATAAGCCTTTTTGCCTTTAAAAAAATAATATTTTATATTATTAATTTCATAACAGATGGTGCCACACAAAAAAGTTTAAGTTTAAAAAAATATTTTTCATAATTCAGCAAAATTACTCCTTTAAAACTTTTGTTATTATTTAAATTTAATATTGTAGTATAAATAAAAATTATCAGACTTCCTTCTTGGTTCCCTTAACCTCTCATTTGAATGGAAGTTTATCAAGATAAAATATAAAATAAAGAATGATCAAATTTGATTAATAAAGTTTATTGGACTAGGATCATGTTTGTTGTTTTCAAAGCCTGGTGATTGAGATTTATGTGTATAGAGTTCATTTAGTTTGTTTCAAACAGAAGCAATGAAATCCGATTTAATAGCTGATTTTGGAAACTCGATTCCTTTCATACAGTGCTTCAGAACAACTTAATCTGATTTGTATATAATACGTTTTGAGCTTGTTTAGTGTGTTGTCAGCCAGTGATGTTTGTATATTTGTAAACAAATATAGAGATGTTAAGCTGGAGTTTAAACTCAATTGTCGTGTTGAACTGTTTAAAAGTCAAGGAATGTCTAGCAAAGCTCAGTGATGCATGTTTGTTTACACTTGTAAACAGAAATGAACTGAACTGTTGCATGCACTTTGTAAGCATCCAAATTCCCAGCTTAAATCTATGATAGAGTTTTCCTGTGATATTTCTCGAAGACACGAGCTGATTGGAAAATAGCTGCCGACCTGAACTTGATGTCTTTACCGAAATTTGGTTGAGATTGATCAAGTGGTTTCGGAGGAGTTTAATTAAATCAACTTCACTTGCTCAGCTTGACAAGTTTGGATGTTTTCTTTTTAATATCTGAAGTAGATTTTTTTATTAGATTGGATTTAGTTTCAGTAAAAAAATATTTTTGTAAATAAAGCTAAACCAAAATATTGCATTAGACTTTTTATTTTGGATTCTGTTCTTCGAATATTCCTCATATGCTGGATTGTCTCTGTACTGGACTAATTAATGTACTTTTAATAGTGGATATTTAAAAGAATGCCAACATTTTTGACCCAGTTAACAGGTCATCCAAAGGCATCCAAATTCAAAGTTGGAGTGCTAGTGATGGAAGGACAAGTGATAGACGGGCTACAATGGTAACGGTTGATGTGAAAGAGTGAGGAGATACAGTCTCTTCAGAAAAACAAAGACTCCCACATGCATAAACAGCAGGAGACCTTTCCTCTGCTGTTTATACATGTGTTGGTAACAGTGGTTATAATTTTACACTTCTCCATAATGCTGGCATGAGAGATGGTTCAATGATTTTGGCCACCTGCAAATCTACCTCTGTGCCATGAAGTTGTGCATAGAAAGACAAAACCCCTCTATCTTTGCATTCAGTTGTGAGATATTAAGATAGTTTGTACGGGTCTTGGACACAGAATTAATACACCCTTGTAAACAAAATACAGGAAGTTTATTAAAGACAATAAAACACGTACAAAGAAAAAAAAACTTCAGTAGACTCAGGATATCAGCCAGCACAGATTTCAAACAATAATACTCCCCAACAAACTTGGTTGGGACCAGGATAATAAAAAATATGAATAACAAACTTCAAACTGACAATACACAATTATATTATTATATCTAAGCTTATTCTAAGTATTAATAAAGAACTAAAATTAAGAATTATGGCCAAAACTAAAGTTATTACAAAATCAACTGGTACCAGAGATGGCAACATGAACAATATTGCCTGGATGACAATGAGTATAAATGTCCTCTTGTTGAAGAAGTATAATCACAATAAAAAGAAAGGCACTCCAAGCAGAAAGATAGCATCTACTGATATGATATAAATTATTCAGTCCACAAAGACAATCATTCAGCTTCATCCTCCAAGTATTAATTCAATCTGAAGACCTTGACGCCACATGCTTTCCTTTGACGACCTCCTCGCTAGCCCACAGAATTCTTCTCTTACAAAGAGAGGGAACTCCTGTCTGATCTTGCTCATCTCTCAGACAAAAGTCTCCTCACTTCACTTCTGTTTCCTGGGACTACCAAAATTCACCTGACCAGTTCTTCACAATCGGATAGGAAAGGGGCAACTCTAAAGTTAAAGTCACACAAAGAAACAAGTACAGATAAGCCTTCCCAAGACTGGAAGCATAGACAAAAGAGTTTACAAAAAAAACAACAAAAATATAAGGCATAACACCACACAGTATAACCAACATGCATTACAGTTCTGAAAATTCTACTGTTAAGTGCATTAGTTAGTCCAGTTAAGTTATCACAGTGGCTAGTAAATTATCATTAATAACTTATATTTACAAGATGCAGCAAATATCAGGCCTCGTGGAAAGATTATTACATAAATTGTATCTAGACCCAATCTTTGTCTATTCCAAAAGTCAATACTGTACTTTCCGGCGTATAAGATGATCCCCGACTTTTACAGTTAAAATATAGAGTTTGGGACATACTCGCCATATATGACGACACCCAGTGTAAGACCCCCCCTACTTTTGAGAAGATTTTCCTGGGTTAAAAAGTCATCTTATACGCTGGAAAATAACACTATTTTAAAAAATTATTAGTAATGTATCATTACGAAAATGAGTAGCTACACATTTCACAACATGGGATTCTGCTATGTTTTGCGAAATCCATTAAGAAGCTTTTACAGGAATCATTTCTGGAAAGTCGATTGGACGACAAGACCTAGATCACTAGACATTATCCCTTTAGAATATTTGTTATGGAGCCACTTTAAATTTGTGATTTGTCAATTGATTTAGAACAATACAAAATCTGAACGATAATATTGCATCAGAATTTGTCATTTTCTTCTAGCAGTTACATTCAAGTTCAAACATTTAATGCATGGAGCTTGACTTTTACTGCAGCTTGTATTTTTATTATTATAAACTGTATATCAGTTTCTTCAATGTGTTCTTGATTAGCATAAAAGATTTTCAATTTTAAATTGGAAAGTTCTTGAAAATAATAAGCTATTATTATATGAATATTTGATTTGTTTATGTGCATTGCAGAAAAGATAATATGTATGTACAGTATATACATATTGTGATTTAGCATTATTTACAATTTATTATTTCACTTTTTACAGTTATTTTATGATATCTCCTACTTCACAACAAACAAGACTCAGTGAATGGATGGAAAAAAATTTACCAACTGACGGCTCCATATCGTTTAATGACGTGACTTCGATGTATACGGTATTAAATGTGGTCGGTCCAAAATCGAAGGAACTAATGACTGAACTCACAAAAACTAACATGTCCATTCCTAGTTTTACCTGCAAGGTAAATATTTTAAGCAATTTTATACAGATTACACTTGATTAATCAGTGATATTTTCTTTCTATGTGGGTATGTAAAATTAAATTCAAAACTTGATTTTTATTTTGTTATAAAAAATATAATTTAACTGAATTTAGATATACAAGGTCTATCTGAAAAGTTCACAAATTTTGCAAATAGAAATTGTTTGAATTAATGTAGAAGCTAATTGGAATAGAAGCTAATTGGAATTGGAAGCTAATGTAGAAGCTAAACTTTTGTTGCCTTTGAAGTAGTCCTCTCCTAAATCTATGTACAGAATCCAGCCTTCTGCCATGAAAAGAATGCTTCCTGAAACGGTTCTTTTGGGGTGATGCACACTCCACTAGCAAATTTTCCTTAATGGCAACTTTTGAGAGCAGATTTTAATTTGGGAAATAAAAATAAGTATGCTGGGGCCTTAGTCCAGTGAATGTAAAGGTTGGGGAACAAGTGGCATCGAGTTCTTGACCAAAAATTCTGTTATTAGCAGTGATGTGCATTGTCATGATGCTGTTTTCTCCAGTCAGTCAGTCTTTTCTACCTCACTGCTTCAGGAAGACATTTCATCACCTCCAGATAGTATTCATAGTGAATGACATCTTTGGAATTAAAAAAAAAAGTAAGACCTTCACATTCAACAACTGAACTTGTCACACTCTCTTGGGTCACAGTGAAGATTTTCCCATCCACTCTGATGACCGACATTTTGTTTCCATGTTTTAATACTCGATGATGTTTTTCACGAAATTTTCATCAGATCTAGCCCATCCCAGAAGCTCTTCGCTCACACTCACTAAAAGACAATCACAAAATGCAAGTAACATGTGTTTACCCAGATGAATGTAACACAACAAATGAAGATACAACAAATTGCTGTCAGCAGATAATACATAAAACTTGCCACTAGAGTTGTGCAAGCTGCATTCAGATTCAATTATCGGTTAGTGCATAATTTAAAAAGTTTGTGAACTTTCCGGACAGGACTTGTATTTATTTCACAGAAATTGTAGCATAATAAATTCATTTCTGCAGGTTGAATTTTCAAGCAAGCTCTCTGGTAATTTGACATTAAAAACTTCTTCCAACATTTCTTTTGTTATGTTGTTCTCAATTATTGGTTAGTTCTTTTCAATTTAAAGGTTCGTTAAACTGACCAAACTAACGTTTCAAGTCATTTTTGCTGTTGTACAAGATTGTGTGATTTACTACTGTAGCAGTTATGATATTTGTATAGTTTTAATAGAATCATTAGAGAGGTTGTGGCTGACGTTTTCAATGCAAAAACGTGTACATTGGACATTCAGCGCCGCCTTCCTGTGAGTCTAGAAGTTTGACAATGGTGTTTGAAATGTCAGTGGAATCATGCTTGACATACTAAATGCCATTGTCAAACTTCTAGGCTTACAGGAAGGCGGCACTGAATGTCTGACGTACATGTTTTTGCAATGAAAACATCGGCCGCAACCTCTCTATTAATTTTATCCTAACTTTAAATATATTATTACTTCTTATATAATGTGTTCAATAGAAAATCAAAGGTAAACAAAGAATTGGCTTATACTATTTATTTAAATTCATTTGTCAAAATAAATTAACTCTTTTAAACTCTGAAAATTTCTCCTATGTACTGTACCCAGAGATAAAACTGTTTTTACCCTCGGGACATAAGGGAAATTTGTATAGCAAAATTAGTCAGAGTTTCTTTGGTCAATTTTGTCTCAAATGGATTAAAGCAATTTTGTCCAATCTTGTGTTTAAAGAGTGTATGATGATAAATGATGTTATGCACTTGCAGTTATACATATGATGATTATTAAATTAAAGGTCACCAAAAGCGTAATGCTTCTAGATATTTCAAATATGTACGTAAAAATGCTGTTGCATGTTGGAACATCAGAAAAACCACAAAAAGGATGTTACAAAGGCATAATTTACAAGTCTGCAGCATTAATCAGTGTACCAAAACTTCTCCAATCTTTTTTACATAATTTTCTTCTTTTGCACCTTTTTGTTCAATCATTCAGCATTAATGGAAGGGCAGGATGTAAGGGAAGAAAAATTCCAGGTTTTCATATTTTTCTGATAATTGTTTGTGAAAATTTGCTAATTTCACAGTATCAGATCAGGCAACACTGGCATTAGCAGAATTGTATGTGACATGTTGCATGTTGTTTCTTTCTGACAAAAACCATAGAAAAAGACTAACTTAACTATTATTGCGCTCAGATCATGCCAAACATTTGTTGATAGTCTGTGTGAAACTTCTTTTTTGAGGCAAATCAAAGTAAATCATTGGCATGCCAGAAAGGCACTGATTGATTGCATGCTTTTCATCAATAATATATTTACATTGCAATCAGTTTACATTACAGCTTAATATGGACATAAAATGGAAAAGATAAAATATTTCCAGAATTGTTCAGTTTCCCAGTGAAGAATTTCAGTACAAAAAAGGAACTTTGCAGTGTTTGTATTGCCTTCAGACTGTCGGTTTAAGAAAAAACAGCAATAGAATGTTACATTCAAAGTGAAATATTGCAGAAGTTGTCATTCCAATCAGCATGTTACAAAGCAGAAAACATCAAATCAAAATAGGGCAGTTTGGCGATTGTTCACATCTGCCGGGGCCATGATTTTTCAGAAATGGATAAACAAAAACCACCAAAAATAGGATTGGCTTCCTGCAGAAACAAAGCTTTGAAGGTATCTAACTTTGGAAGGAAAAAATGGCCTGCGAATGACTGTGGAGTTGGGTGCAGATAAAGACATTGCTGTGGAATTGGTGGATCTAAAAAGTTGGAAATTTGTAAATGTGTTACTCTCTTGGTGATTCCTCCCAATGCAGGTTCAGGTTAGTGTCAAAGTTTGTAGAAATATGCACTACAGACACAATTACAGATATGATGCTAGATTCTTTGCAGCTTATTCTTTGAACTTTTATAAGATTAGTGGCCTTCATCTCTGACAATGCCCATATATGTGATCTGCAAGACTATAAATCTTATGCTGGTCCCATCTTTTACATTTGGGAGATAACAAAGTCCTTGACCAATATATAGCTTCCTTTAAGTACATTTGACTAAATGTCCCAGCAATCACATTCCAATCCCAGCATTGTTTAATGAAGGCAGGAAAATCAACTGCTCTACCTCCCATTCCTGTGATCACTCTCTGGGGTCAGACAGCAGTGTAGACAGTGCTAAAAACATTAACAAAGAGAAATAGTGAATTACGTCAGACAAAGAAAATAGTGTTTGTATGGTAGAATTAAGAGGAGCTAATTAATTCTGAAAATTTACTTATTCAACTTAGAAGAGTTTCTAGAGTTGCACTTCTTCCAAATTACATAAGAGTTAGGGAGCATTACTATGTCAGCAAGTCATGTTTGGATGCTACAGAAAACTGTGCTTGTTCAGAGTTTGTAACATTCTGTATAAAAACTGACAGCATATCTGGATGCAAAACACCCTTACATTCTATTCTGGAAGTGGGTGAAGAATTTAAACCCTAACATTGCAGAAATTAATGCTTTTACAGAATCTCGGCTACCTTCTGAGCTGCAATGATTTTTAATGCAACCTATTTCTGCTTGGGAGATTGCAAAATATAAAACTTATAAACAAGAACACGACAGCTCTGAGGTTGATTTCAGCAGAAATGGTCCAAAAAAATGCCAGTTTAGAGTGCATTGACTCTTACTGTTCCTGTAACTGGTACTGTTGTCGAAAGAAACCAATGAAAAAACCCATCTTCAAGAACGTTAATGATAGAGGCCAATATGGATGTGCACCTGAAAATGTTATTTAATCAGTGTGTGTACTGAGGATGATGATGATGATGATGATACAGATCATCTGTAACCTGATGTGATATATATATATATAATAAAAATGAAAAAGTTAAACATTAATTCAGTTGATTTTCAGTTTACTGTAAGAGAAAAAAAGAAAACCTTCAAAAAGCATTAATGTTTAATTCTGTTTTATGTTAAAGCTATTTTTTAATATTATGTACTGTACCTCTCTTATATTTACAAATTATTAGTTGTAAAAATTTAACATGGTTTCCACATCTTATTTTAGGAAATGAATGTCGGTTATGCAAGTGAAGTAATGGTGATGGGATTTAACAACACCGGAGAGCCGGGATATAGTTTGTACGTTCCGTCCGAGGTATATATTTTCTTTGATTTAAATTCGTACTGCATTACAAATTCTTAGTTCTGATAAAATAATTATTTCCAGTACGCTTTGCATGTGTATGACAGATTAGCTACAGTGGGGAGAGATTTTGGTATAAAAGACGTCGGTTATTATACGCTTCGTTTTTTGAGAATAGAAAAATTTATTCCGTTTTGGGGAGAAGAATTAGACAGCAACACGACACCTTTAGAAGTTGGAAGAAGTTTTAAAGTAAAGATGCAAGTAAGAGAAACTAAAATATTAGTTTTTTAAGAGTATTAATAAAATATGTGTTTAATCCACAAAATACATTTTAGAAAGGCAAAGAATATAATTGGTAACTTGTAAATCATACATTTTCTTGATTATGATTGAACAAATATTGATGTAATCAATATCCTTGTGATCTCAGTTTAATTTATCATTCATCAATGCAGTATTATCGTTCTCAATTTTAGATTCATATTGATTATTGTTTGTTAGGAAATGTAATCTACATTATCAAGAATGTGTGCAAATTTCTCACATGTGATGTTCATTACTTCAGAGAACGATTGATTTTTCAATTTTGTAGGTCTAGCAAGAAACTAAACAATATCGTGTACTGTTCCAGAATGCAGTTTTAAGAATTTCCATTGTATACAACTTTATAAAAACACTAGCAGATAAGCCCAGCATTGCTTGGGCAAAATGTAACAATAGCGAAAATTATGATTATTATATTATATCCAATCTTACCCATTTTCACCGGGTGCAAGAATTAGGTTCACCCTCTTCCGAGACTAACTAGAGACTTTTTAGATGGATCTAAAAATATGTTCAATTTCCCACAAAATTGCAAAAAACTGCATCTATAACAGTAGAAGCTAAGTTCTTTGGGGTAATCCTAAACTCTCCCCCTCTCCCCCACAAGGGAGAATTTTAAAAAATCCCTTTTTACGTTCTCATGACGTAACCTGTGTACAAAATTTTAACTCCTAACCGTTTGGGCTCTGTGCTTATTATTATTATCATTGATCCATCTTGATTATATATATATATATAGATTTGTAGTCCTTTTGATAATCATGATGGTTCTGAAAAAACTACGTCTAGTTATGAACTGACTCTCTCCCTTTTCCGAGGAAGAGGGAAGAGGCAACAAGATGTAGATGTAATGTCTCCACGGTACTCCTCCAGTATTGCAAGACACAAACGTAAGAGTACCAGACTTCTATTGGAACGGGTCATCCTTGACAGTGTAGCATCTGGAGTCAATTCAGTCTTGTTAGGGATTCCACCCATCATTTCATATGGTATGTTAGAATGTAAAGAAATTATATGTTCCTTTGAAGTGGAACAAGTTAGTCAGGTTGTTATGGATAAAACTAAAAATATGCATTTAATTAAGAATGGTGATAATTATGTTAAATATAAAGTATATTCTTTTATTTTATTTTTTTTTTCAGAAAAATTATTTTCTTGGAAAAGTTGCCCTACAACACCAAATTGACAAAGGGCTCTTTCGTCGTCTTGTACATTTCCAATTGGAAAACCACAACCCCGACATGGATCTGTGGCCCTGGGGTCGCGAACCCATCTTTCGCAACGGCAAATACGTCGGCACCACCACCTCCTCCGGATATGGATTCACATTAAACAGGGTCGTCTGTCTGGGATTCGTGGACAATTTCAACCGAATGAGTCACAAATACGAAGTGGTCACCAATGATTACATTACAAAAGATGCAAAATTTGAAGTTTCTGTTGCAGGAAAGAGATATGTTGCGAAGCCAAGTTTGCATCCTCCCAAAATTCCAATAGTCACCATGAGCGGCACCACAAGATACACTCCCCGAGCAGTCAACGGCATATAATACAGTTGTAGAGTTATATCTATTTATGTATATTTACTTTTTATAAAATTATCTCTCATTACACTAGTCATTGTGATATTTATACACTCTAAAAATTACAGGTGTGTTAAATCAGTAGTTAAAAATGTTGATATAGGATCTGAAATTTTCAATTTTAAGAAAAACTTTTTATAATCTTGAATAAAATATTGTATAATAAATTTAAATAAACTAATATAAATCACTTTTAATTACAACTTCAGGCTTTTTTCAATTCAACCAGTTAGCGGTAAAAGAATTTGGAGCAATTTTGTAGAATGTTTTTTAGTTGAAATTCAAAAGAAATCTCTCCTAATAAAATTCATATTCTGGAATAACAGCAATATTAGTTTAATACCCTGTATACAGTATCTTGAAAATTCTGATCAGAATACTCACGACACATGGCAGTTTATTTTGGCAAGCTTAATGCAGAAAATTTATATTTACATGAATTTTTTCAACTTAAAATTAATTGAAACATTATTAACAGATAAATGTCTCTCTTTCTTGATCATAATACAAGAAATTCTCTTGTATTATGATCAAATGTGATAAAAATTGAGAAACACGTACATATAGATCCTTAGATATACAGTAGAGCCTCGATTATCCGACTCAATTGGGGACTGGGGTTGGTCGGATAACCGAAAAGTATGAAAAAATCCATTACTAGTGTAGTATATTATTATATCCCATGTAATTAGTATATCGCTATTAACCTAATTCGTGTTGAATTTTCATCGATGTTAAGCCTAACAAAAATTTTTTAAAATAATAATCGTCGCTATTGTATCGTTAAAAATTAGAAAATTAAGCCTCGTTTAAATACTGGCCCCTTTCATGATCGAATGAGTGTTGTCAGCTAAAACATGTAAAAATAATATTAAAGTAGCCAAGACATAGCCACATCACTAGCGGACATTTGAAATTTGCCGACTGGGACGGTCGGTTAATCGGGGGTTGGATAATCGAGGCTCTACTGTATTTAAATCAAATGTTTTTTATCTACCAAAATTTGATTTTGTAAATTAGATTTACACAGTAAAACAATCTCCTTTATCTACATCTTATTTTTCCCAGATATTCTGGAGAAAAATCAAAGACCAGATTTCAACTTTTTATTAATTAAATATAAATGCATTGCCAAAATGAACTGTTAATAAAGAACAAAAGTCAAAACTTATATATTATCTTACTCCAAATTTAAGACTTCTCCCTGTGTTTTCAAACTTTAAAATGCACTCAAATTGACGAGAATATCCCAAATTAAAGTGCACGTAATGAAAATTTTATATGTATTCTGTTAATATTTTAAATACATTAAACATTAATACATTTTTTATGCAATTTTTTCTTTTGCCTGAAAATGAGATGTATTTCTTCAAATTTAAAATGCAATACTAAATAAAAGTTGATAAGATTTCTCCCATTGTTTTAAACTAAAATAAGTTATCAAAAATCAATGGAATTATGATAACCATGCAGTTTAAACTGTAATCTTTGATGCCAACTGATTTATATCAATGGAGAAGAAAACTAATAATGAAAGACAAACAGTGTATTCATTAATAATCTTTCAAAAACAAGATGCATCTGTCATACAAATGATAAAAAATGTTTATTTGCAACGAGTCAACATGATTATGCTATTAGCACACTATACTTGTTAGTACCTTTTTATGTATCATGATCTATATTTAAACCTTGATATTTATTTACTACAGACTCAAAGCATAATGACCCCGCTGGTGGACAAGTGGATAAAACCATTGCAAACCTGCCACCAACTAACAGGCCAAGTGGAGTTTTCCAGATTTAAGTTTGTAACATCTACTGATAAATAGGGCCAATTTTCCATAGGAAGTCCTCCTAAAAGACACTCCCTTGGCATATCCACTCAAATGTTACATTGCCTTATCCCATCAAATCAAATCAAATCAAACACAACACACATTTCTTTGTAAACAACCAATTAATTTTTAATCTAGTATGATAAATTAATCATTTGTAATTCAACATGGCACATTATTCCTGAATTGATTCCATTGATCATTCCCATTGTAGATTGGGTCTACTTTGCAATGACTAATTGTAGCTGATGTATCTTTAGTGCTTTACAATTATCATTTATTCTGACAAAAAGAAAGTTCTTCACAAATTTTTAAAGTGTTTTAAGAAATTTATTAAAATCTTCTGTATATGTACAAGCTGCTTTTTCACAAAACTCTTGATCCGTGTTGGCCGTAAATAACTGTAAAGACACATAACCAGGCTTTCTCGGATCGTATTGTGCGCGACCGAGATGTCGGAGATACAAGTGACGTTCTCTTATATTGAAGAGTCGAAAAAATAGAACGTGAGGATATAATACAATCTGCGAATGAGGAATGCACATGGAATTATGAATATAATCAAACCTTTCGAGTAAACTTTTTCTTTGAATAAGCCATAATTTTGGTGCCTCTAGAACTAACTGTTTTATTTCAAAGTCATCAAAACCCATTTCTTCCTTAATGACAAAATTATTTTCTTTTATTTTGAATGGTTCCTTTAATACTAATCTAGGTTCTCTGGTGGTAACAGTTCTAACTTCTTTTCCATTCAAAGAAAACATATTTTGTATAAACCCAAGCTGTTGGTCCATTTTAAGTGTATCCAGCATTAAAAATTTGGGTGCAGTATTTATGATTTGAGAAATAGCTTCTCTGTTGAATTTCTTAGATTTCAAATAATCAATTCGGACTTTTAGATTATCTATGGATTCTTGAAATATCAGAGGATTTGCTGATAGGAACCTTCCCATTTCTTTAGGGTACACACCAATTTCATGAAGAAAGAAAATGTGTTTCTTCAAATCTTTCTCAAAATTTGATCGTAATAAGAATTCTGCACATCCCGTTTTTTCGACTTTAGACAAATCTACTCCTAATGCAAGTAATTTCTGAAGAGTTTTTGAATGATTTACGAATGCTGCAAGACATAATGCCTTTCCTAAAGGTGGTGCTATCAGATCTATATATTCTCCGTCAACTTTTGAAGAAAGAGGATTTATATACGGTGCATTTTCTGAAGTATTATTTTCATCTTGAAGTATTTGAAAATCTACAGGATCCACTAACGAATTTTGTGAAACTACAGATGTTTCTGCTGCTTTCTTGATTGCAGTTATATGTGAGTATCTGATGTTAGGATTTTGAAATAAAAACAAATTTTTTCCAATTCTCCACATTTGTTTCCTCATGTTAAATTTGAATGTTGAAAATATCTAAAAGGAAAAGATTATTTTAAATATTTGCCTATTTTTGAAAATTATTTTTAAGATTTTTATTAAAATAAGAAGAATGATTTGGGCTTTTGATTAAATTATTCATATGTTGGCATGTTCTGATATCACTGATAAGCCACTTCACACTTGAAATATATTGAAATGTTAAAATAACATGAATTAATCTTAGCTATATTTAAATGATATTAGATATAATTTACTAAAATTATTAGACTGATACAAATTACTATACTTCTAATAGCTAAAAAGCAAAAACAGCAAAAGTTAAAGATAAAATACAATTAATTTAAGAAAGTTTTTTTTTTGTATCTTTGATGTCTTCCTTTCTTCTCAGAAATTTCCAGTCAAAATTATAACACTACTACAGATCATATGCTTCATTGAAATAAAAACCTTGAAATATTAAAAACTTCAAATGCTGTTTGGCTTGGTTTTCTACAAGGTATAAATTGTTCAACAAAAATAAATAAGTAAAATAACAACTCTCGCACTAGTCACCATCTAATTGAGGTGAAAGTGCTTAATAGTCCAAAATGTCAGTGGGAGCATAAGCTAACATTAGGGCCACCCATGCCAGTAAAGTCAATAGGGAGAAATAAAGTAGTGATCCATGAGCAGCATCTGATCCAGAATAGGCAGCTACTAAAGCATTTTCTCCATGTCAGGGACAGCTAATCTGTAAACACTTCGTTTTAGGTATAGAAACATACTTGCTTTTGTGGAGAAAAATGATTGTTACATGTTTGCAGCATGATATCAGTTTGGATGTCCCCTGGGTTAACAAGATTTACATTTGTGGACTAGGCAGAAGTTCACATTTGAAAAATCTGCCGTAGTCTCCTTTGACTAGCAGTGAAAATGCAGCACTGACCCAAATATGACATTGCAAACACATTTACTTCCTCACTTGCACTTGCAACTCCACCCAGCAATGTGTTTTGGTGCCAATATGGCCACTGACTACCAAAGTTGGAAAACTATGCAAACAGATGAAAGGGACTAAAGAAACAAATGGATTCATCATCCATACCTACTATACTGGGTCAGTATGCTGCTATATTTGATGAGTCCAAATGTTCATTTTATTAGTTTTTACTACATCCAGTGAGTGCATAAAGACATTTTTCCTTTCTTGTTCTTCTTGAAAATTTAAATAGCAAAGACCAACAATCTCCATGTGGTCCTGCCTGTTAGTAACCTAGACACTAGATGAAGCCAATAGTCAGTCAAAGCAAATAATGACCTTTAAGAGACTAAATTTGAGTGATAGTGGGGATGAATTGTTCTCAGGACAGGAGATAAGAGTTTGTAAACCTTGCAGGGGAAAGGATGGAACTAGCTAAAGGTATTAGGCTTAAGATGAGTTAATACATAGACAACAATGCAAAATCACATCTCAGTACAAAGAAGCACCAAAACTGGAAGAAAAGTGCCATAGTGAAATGAGGACTTGACAAAGACAAAGACAATGACAAAGTCATACTCCAAAGGTGCTACCAAAGAGCTCGTAATGAACAAACCCAAAAGGTGCTCCAACAAAAATATCTATAACATAAATGATTTATAAACAAAAAATAAAAGAATACAAACTAGCCTCATACAGGAAATACTGTACCAATAACTCAAGCAAACCTGGAGACTGTGAACAAACACTGTGCAAGAAAATTGAAAACTACTGATAGATGCAGCCTAGTAAATATCCAAATAAAAAAATGGAACAACAAATAGTCTCTCAGACATTGTGGAAGCACTGATGAATAACTTTTTCCCAAAGAATGACCCCTGAATCTGAAGTAAAAAACAAAAGAATTAGAGAAGAATGTAAGCAGCAATACAATGTGGATGATAACCCTTCATTCACATTTCATAAGGTACAGAATAGTATCAAGCACTTGAAGACTGATAAGGCACAAGAAAATAATAATATGTTAGTGGAGATCGTCTATAAACTGTGGGAGTAACCTTGATACTTAGTTTGTTACATACCATGGCCTTAAATTATAATCACAGACAAATGATAAACTTGTCTGAAAAGAAAGACTAGAAACATAAATACAATAACATTAAACAATTAGGCAGGCTGACATAATACACTAAAAAACAACATTACACCAATGAAAGAGGATAGGAAAATATTTAGAAAATTAAAACATACACACAGCACAAATAACACAATATGCACATAGAGGAAAATGTTGACACTCAATCAAAAAACTAGCTGCCAAATCCCAAAGATTCAAACAATAACAAAACATGTTCATTATTAAACAAAATAAATTATTCACAAGCAATGAGGTACTTTTCTATCAACAACAATATAAAGGGCCATTGAAAGAATAGGAGCTAGGGATTTTTCCCCAGGTCTGAAGAAAACTTGGGGATCCGTAGTTGTTACTACCCCTTTAAATTATTATTATTTTTATGAATGTATGTCTCTTTAATCCGACAAATTAAGTTCGGTAGACTATCAATACAGCTTTCAGGTTAGACACTTCTTTTCATATGGATTTATGGTTTTCACATATGAAATATGTGAAAACCATAAATCCATATGAAAAAATAATAAAAGGCACACATTTGAAGAATAAAATAAATGAAACTGATAAAAATTACATACTTAATTTTAAAAATAATAGAACACCAAAATTACAAATAAGGCTAAAAACACATAAAGAAGAAGAAAAATACAGACCAATCATTGACTTTAGATACTCTATACTTTACAATTTAGAAAATTATATTAAAAAGCAATTAAAAAACATTAAAGGTTCTAACAATAGCATAAAAATGCTGATGAAGTCATAAATAATATCCAAAAAATAAAGAAAGAAAGATCAGATACATTAATTAGTTTAGATGTAAAAAATATGTATCCAAATATAGAGTGGAAATCAATAGAAAACAGCCTAATACAACTACAAATTGATAACACAATAATTGAACTTATAAAATTTGCATATACCAATAATCATTTTGAAGTTTATAATGATTTTTACAGACAAATAGATGGTGTCAGTATGGGGCCAAAACTGGCTGAATTAGTTATGAAAAATATTGACGAAAAAATACAAAATATCCCTGGTGTTAAAATGGTGATGAGATATGTAGATGACTACTTATTAGTGATGTGCCGGATGTCCGTATCCGTATCCACGGATATCCGAGGGGAAAAAAAAGATCTGTATCTGTTACTTTTTAGTGGATCTTTAACGGATCTTTTATCTTAATGAATTTCTTTACTTATATGAAATTTTAAAGATAGGTAGCAATAAAATACTAATAACTTCAATTCAAATCCCTTTTTATTTCTTAAAATCACATATTTGGCACATTCACATTGCAAAAATTTTATCATGCAAAATTCATTTACTGTTGTAAAATATTTCATATTACACTTATAAACCTTTTTGTCGAAATTGTTTTTATTTTAATTTAACTCAACACTCTCCAAAAATATAAACGTAATCTATGCCAAGGGTGGGCAACCTTTTTTATAACATGGGCCAGAATAAATTTTACGTTTTTTCCGTGGGCCATAGTAGTTAATTGACACCTTGTGGCCTGTAAATTTTTAGTCTGCAAATATGAAATAAATAAATAAATAAAAAGAAATTAATTACTACAGTCGACCCCCCTATAACACTGTTGATTATTCCGTTTTATATGAATTCCATGTTGTATGAGTCACTTAGATTTTACAAATGCGTGTGCCGGGCTGTGAACGGCTCACCTATTTGTAAAATCTAAGTGACTTTAAACACAATAAAAACAGCACTATGTAGTTGGATACGACAGACATTACATTTTCTAATTGCATAGCTTTTGCACATAGATTTTCTTGATGGATGATGCGATGAGATAT